ATACATGCCACCATTTTAAGTGGTGAGAAAGATTAGGACCAATATGAAAAAGATAGGATGTGTAAGACCTTGCTAATCGCTGAAGCAATTTGCCGACAAAAATTTCAGAAGATCCCGGCTTCAAGCTCTCCAACTTTGCAAGTGACTTTGCAACTAAACGCACAGCAGACCCTTCTGAATCATCAGCAATTGTCTACATGTACACAAGAAAAAGAAAAGTAAATCACAGGGATTGAAACTAGCTACAATGAATTCATTTGATATGTATGCATACATCAAGACATAAAATACAGTAGGTTGAAACTTGAAACCATATACACCAAATCTAAATATTATTGTTTTACTGATGCTAACATAGTTAAAATAAATTGCATCTTAAACGTATGCCTAGAACAAGCAATCTATATCTTCCAAAGTACTCACACATAGACATATAATAGGTGTGCTTTTGCAGCACCAGGCTTCTAACTAAGAAAAACCCACAATTTTTGGCAACAATGAGTTCCTTAGCAAGAAAAGATAGAGAGAAAGAGAGAGAAGAAAACAACAATACTGCTTTATGTCTTCAAAAACTTGTATCTGCAGTTCTAACAAATTTGCAGACTACAAAATTATAAGTATAGCTGATCGTCCAAATAAAATGGAACCATAGTTAGCCTAGATAACAAAAGTTTTCCTTATCCTGAATAAAAGGATTATCAAAAGATAACAAAGATTAAAGCAGACTTTGATGGACACAAACAACCCCATCCTCTATCATCCTGAATTTGGCAAACCTTAATTCTCCTGTTAATACTTTAATGACTCCATCATTTCAAAACATACATAATTAATTTTTATAGTAAAATATCATGGAAAACCAGAACTATATAATTAATAGTTTCTCCAAGAGAGGAATTCCACGGGTAATTGGGAAATTAATAAACAAAAATTCAATATCAGAAATGAGGAAACATGCAAACAGAACAGAGAGGGAGAGAGGAGGAAGGGATACCTAGAAGCTGCTAATGCTTTCTTTCAACTCCACGTATTTTCCAGGGGCACCAGTGAAAACCTTTGCAACATGGAACGGCTGGCTCAAGAAACGTTGAATTTTATGGGCACGGGCAACTGTCAACTTATCGTCTTCACTAAGCTCATCCATCCCCATAATAGCAATAATATCACTAACAAAAAAGCACCTCCAAACTCAAATCTTATCACAAAAGGCAAAATGAGAACAAAATCTACATCAAATACTTCAAAATCAACTTCTCAAACCAAAACATAACTACAAAATTGAAATAAGAATCTAATCTAGAAAACACATACCTCACCAGATGAAAAACAGAGTTTCGCGTGAGAAGAAGGAAGATGAGAGAGAGGGTGTCGTTGTCGATGGAGCAAATAAGGAAGAGCAGAGAGGGCGGGTGTCGTCGTTGATTGAGTGAAGAAGGAAGTGGATAAAGAGAGGGCGTCGTATCGTCGATGGAGAGAAGAGGGAAGATGAGAGAGAGGGCGTCGTCATCGATGGAGTGAATAAGAGCATGTCCACCCATGAAGGCTAAGGCAAGGCTAAGGCAAGGCAAGGGCTGCCACTATTCACGTAAATAGTGGCAACCTTGCCTTAGTTGGTTCCACCCTTGGAAGGCTAGGGCAAGGGCAAATACTATTCATTGTACTTTATTTTCTATTTTTTTTATACTTTAAACCATTAATTTTGATAACCTTTTCATATAATATTTTCGATTGCCATGTGTCACTATTTATTATAAAATTCTCACATGAAATTTGAGATAACATTTTCGGATAAAATTTTCGGATAAGATTTTTGGTTGCCACATGTCCATTTTTATTATAAAATTCACATCTCACTTATCATACAATTGAAATACCTACTCACTCATCATACAATTGAAATACTCCCGGTCTTTATAGTCCGAGTTAATCGAGTACAAGGACGAATCAATCATTGGGGAAGGCGGTTCCACCGGATCACGACATGGGGTAGTATTTTCCTTCGGAGGACGTAATAGTGCCATTATTTCCGACACGGAACGCACCACTGGAGCCGATTGCGGGCATTGCTCACTTGAGGAGCCATGTGTAATGGTTTTCCTCTTTTTTGTTTTGCCTTGAATAATCTATTTTAAAAAATGAAATTAGAAATGCAAGAAAGAAAGAAAAAAATAATAATATATATATATGACATTAAATTGAATAAAACGGAAATTATTATTTTTTACCTCGTCGCCAAGATTTTGACCTCTTCGAAAGTTTGTCCATGACCCTCCGGCTTCGATGGAAGAGGCCATTTATATTTTTGCACAAATGGAATTTTGTAATAGAAAAATGTGAGTGGAAAGTAAAAAATATTGGAAGGAGAAGAGTTGGTATGAAGATTTGGTGTGGAAAGTGAATAAAATGGTTATGTATTTATAGGAAAAAAATCCAGAATTTTTCGGTATTTTTTAAATTTGTTTTAAAAAAAAAATTTCAGATTTTTTTGCAATTTTTTTACCCAAAAAAATCGAGTCCGTCGGATTTCTGGACAAAAAACGATCAAAGCATCTGGAAAAGCGCCACGTGGCCTCTTCTCGTTGGGAGATGTCAGTCGCTGACTTCCGCGCGGTGAAATCAATTTTTTTTTACCGTCACGCGCCAATTGTAAAAAAAATTTGAATTTACAGTCGCTGACATCACCATGACGTCAGCGCATTTGGGCTGCAGCCCAGGCAAGATCTGCCCGTGGGCTTGCCTAGTTTGGTGTGGGACCCACCATTTGCCCGGGCTTCTTCTCTCCCGCTGGAGCTCTCTTGGGCTGCCTTGGGGGGCCTTTCACCCAGTTTTGGCTCAAGGCTAGACATGCTCTTAGGAAGAGGAGAGAGGGGTTGAGATCTGGTTTTAAACAACCTTTATAATTTAGACAGGCCCAACGAATCTAGGCCTTCTTTTTGGCCTAATTCAAAATAACAATTCTTTCCTAAGTATTAAAACCCAAACAAAAATACCCAATGTCTCAAATACTAATTAATAAAATTAATTATGTCTAATACCTAATTTTTCTTAAAAAATAACTATAGTATTTATGACTCCCTAAATTATGGAGTATGATTGGAGTTCAAATTTTATTTAGAAAGCTCCCAAAATAGCTTGTGTATTTTTAGCTAAATTTTAACTAAAAAATAGGGAGCATGATTGTGAATGCTCTAAATGAGTGCTGCTATTTCCACCCCCCTGTCCTATTTCCCCACCCACCTTATCTTTCCACCCACCACATAAATTTTAAAAAACATAATCCTATCTTTCCACCCACCATTATTCCTAAAATACCCTTTAATTATTATTTTCTTTTTATCAAATGTAATAATTTAAAACATAAAAAAAGAAGCTTAATGGAACTTAACAATTAACTCCTACAATCATTATTCTTCTTCTTCTTCTTCTTCTTTTTCTTCTTTCTTTCTCTGCGGTTTCTCCACCCAATTGTATAGGTTTTTTTTCCCTCTTCCTTTCTCTAAGTTTGGTTGGTTTGGGTGGTGGCTTGAGAGAATTCAGGGTTGGGACCTGAGAATTGGAGGGTGGTCTCATTGTTGAGTTGGAGGGTTTGTTAGGAGAGGTTGTACGAAGCAATGACAAATGTAGATGGCGTATAAGAAGACAGGGCTGAGAAAGAAAGGTCACCTTAAATTGAATTAAATTGAATTTGAACGATTTTGATTATTATGTAAAGATCAGTTAAGCCATTATAAAGAGAGTATAGAAAAAAAAAATCTTCTGTTTTGGAGAGTTTGCTTAGGGTTTAGGAAGGAACAAGGAAAAACCAAACCTCTACAATTGGGTGGAGAGGCTACAGGTATAAGAAATAAGGAAAAAAAAGGAAGACTAAATTGATTGGGGGAGATATTGACAAAAAAAAATGATTGGGTAAAGATGTTGCAAACAAAACAAACAGGAAAGGGGAAGGGGGAGAGGTTGAAGAGACAGGAAAAAAAAAGAAAAAAAAAGAGTAAATGACGGCAGAAATTAAGGTTCAAATTGTTAAGTTGCATTAGAGTTTTTTTTTTCTTTTTGATTATGAAAAAATTTCAATATATTGGATTAAATTTTAATGAGGTGGCATAAGTCCTTAAAAGTCATTTTACAAAGGGCTACATTTGTCCTTAAAATTTTGAAGATAAGGTGGGTGGGGAAATAGGACAGGGGGTTGGAAATAGTAGCACTCCTCTAAATTTGTATATAGTTTGACTTGTCAGCATTGAAATAACAATTGGAAGTAGGTTTACTTTAGACATTAGACTTTGATAAACAAATTGAAAGTTTGGTCCCCAAGGCTTGAATAGAGTGCTAAGGGAACTGCATTAATAGCCTCCATGAGTCGCCTTAAAGTTTTGATTAACGCATTTGCTCTTCTCAGAACCAGAAGAATCGGTGACATAATTGCCAGTACTTGAGCTTGAGAAGTAGTAATGTCATGGAACCTAGTCTAGGAGAAGAACTTAGATGTAACATGGATGCCACCGTTGCACTTGGAAAGTTGCATTGTCATGTGGGAAAATTAAAACACATAACAATAAGTGATTGACTCGGATAGCGCCACGGTGTTTTGGATTGTGTGATTAATTATATCTTCAAGTTATGTTCGAATTTTCAAGTATTCATATTGTCTATGAAATCTGATCATTCTTTGCCATAATGGAGGGCGAAGTACAAATGGCTGTCAGATGCCAAGATTGAGAGCACGGTTTCAGGAAGGACTTGGGTCATTTCAAGATTAAGATTAAACTGGTCCATAATTAAGTAGGTTTAGTGGTTCTTTTCCTTTTGATAATTCACCATTTGAGTACTAATTAATCCAGAAAAAGTCTCATGTGCTGAGGGTTAAGGTTGATTCTATGGAATTATTGAAAAATATTTCCTTGAACTGATAAATGCAAAGTTGGTATTACACAGTAGCCATATAACAGCAAGAACAAGCAGAAATATATAATAAAGTTCCAAGAACAGTTTCTTCTTTCGTAGTCATATCCTTTTTTTCTTCTCTCTCTCTCTCTCCATGCAGAAATTTATTCTATACCAATACATAACTTCTATGCTTTCATCCCTTAACAATATTGTTATAGTTGAAAGAACACTAGGCTAGCTTTAGGGAAACCAGAGGAAGGAGTAGCTTACAAAGGAAAGGATGTGGAGGAAAAGGCTTCTTGAATGTTGGAAAGGGTGGAGGAAGAGGCCTACTTGTGAGGAGGGATAGGTGCCGTCGGATATACTGGATAATTATATCCAGAATCAAGAAGTTTTCGTTCCGCAACTAGCACCGGGGGATGACCCGGCTTCTTAAAGGGTGGAATCTTGAAGATTGGAACTGGTGGTGGAAATGGCTTCTTTACAGTGGGAATCTTATGTAGAGGTGGTTTCTTGAAGGAGGGCTTCGGTGGAAATGGCTTCTTTACAATGGGAATCTTATGTACAGGTGGTTTCTTGAAGAAGGGTTTTGGAGGAAGCACTGCAAACTTCCCTTCTTCATTGAGCTCTGCAGCCTCTGTTTGGAGCTCTTCAATTTGGACATGCATGTGCACAAGAGATGCAGAAGAATGTTACTTATCATTATGTGGTCACAAGACTAATATATAATTACACACATATAAATATATATCTCACCTGAAAAAGCTTTGTCTAGTAGTACTTGTTCTCCAGCTACCTCAACAGTCTCTGCACTGCTGTAGCAGAAGCTTACCGCAAACAAGCAGAACCAGAGCCCCAGAACAGCTCCTTGGAAAGCAAGACGGGTCTGCATTGAAAACCCTTCTTATGCTGCCACTTATAATAGTGCTTAATCCAACTTTTAAAATTTGGTTAAGCTAGCTTTGGTGATTTTTATCAGTTGCAGCAGGCACGCTATAAATAGTAAGTTTAGGAGGCTTAGGTCTGCTTGCACTTATTAATTAAGGGGTTGATATCAAGGTCATTGAGATTGAAAAGGATTTTAGTACATAGAGGCAACATGTCAATGTCAATTGGAAATATCAATGACTTTGTATAAAGTTTGACTTGTGAGCATGGAAATATCAATTGGAAGTCGGTTTAGTTAGACATCAGACTTTGACTAATCAAATTGAAAGTGAACTGCATTAATAACCCCCATATGGTCCCCAAGTTCTATTATTATTAAGGCATGTCCTCTTCTTGGAACCAGAAAAATCGGTGAAATAATTACCAGTTGAGCTTGAGAAATAGTAATGTCATGGAGCCTAGTCTTGACGAATTTTTGGGTTGTGTGATTAAATCTTCAACTCATATTCGATTTGTAAAGTTTGTTAGATTTCTTTATAAGCGTGTTCATGATCTTTCACACAGTCTGAAATACGTAAAGACATACATGGCAACATCTTTCTTAAGTACACGACCTCTAAACTCATTCAATCGCAGCTGCAACAATCCCAGCGAGAACAAGAACGGCTCAAGACTTCTGCTCTCTCCACTACTACAAAA